AATAAATTTTATTACTTTCATGACCATATCTTAGTAGCCCACATTCTTAGATATTATATTTAAGCAAAAAAATAAACAAAAAGAAATACAATAAGTTAATGAAAGGCTCAAGAAGGCCACATTTCCAAATGAGATTTCAAAATTTTGAGTTGTTTATATTTATTATGAATTGAAGAGAAAATAATAAAAATTATAAGATAGATGTCACTAGTCAAATCATAAGAGTTTATATTTATATCTTAAAATGTAACTACTAAGCTTTCGAACAAAGGATTCATTGGAACATATTTTATCAACTTTGAATGCTATCTACAAGGTGGGGATCATCTTGTGGCTTTATTCGATCTACAATTACTATTGTTTATGGTGCAACGCTCATCGTGACTTAGTTTGGAGTAGAAACATTTGTAGTTTTGTTATTAATAGAAAAAAATTGGTACCATTTCTAAAAAAAGAAAAACTTATTATCATTTTCTATTTAATGACCAAAATGAATCTCGATTTGCAAAACATTAGTTTTTATTTCTAATTTGGTTTTTTTGAATAATTTTTCATAAAATGAGATTTATGCTCAACCTCCTTGAAAATGCTAGATTAAACTCTATAATTTTTAATAATATGTGGCATAGAAACTACAAGTCTGTTTGGGGCAGCTGTAGTTTATTGAATAATCTGCTGATAAGTTGATTAAAAATAATCTGTTGATAAGCTAGGTGCAGTGATCATTACAATTTTTTTTTTTTTTTTGGAAAAACCAAACCGCAACCAGAAAACTACCATCGAACCTAAATAGGTGTAGGGTGAAAACGATGTTTTTAGCATTTTGAAAATGCATAAGTTGTCAAAACACAATTTTCTCAAACAGGTCATGTGTGTTTTCAAAACGCCACAGCGCCAAATAGGCTGCCCCAAATGGGCCTGTACCCTCTCATTGCTTATGTTAGGGTGTAGAAATAAGAAACTTCATAATATTGGTTGCAAATGTATTACTTTTGCCTTTCTAAATCTAGAAAGCCATGTAAGTCATAAGACTAGAAAATGGAAATAAAGCAACATTGGCCAATGGATGACTATTAGATCTATCTTTTTTTCACATTGAAGATCTAATGTATATTATTATTTGACATAGGCTACAAACTCCTTTTTTGACTACATGATTTTTAGCACTCAATTTTATTCATTTCTTCAAGGGGAAACACAATTGAGTCATAAATGTAAAATTTAAGAGTTTTAATTAAAAGATTATTTTTAATGTAAAATGTGAGTTTAATTACTGATCAAACATCTATTTATATTTGCATGCATTTCACACAATTCTTATGTATTTACATATCTAGCACCTAAGTTTTAATTTTCACATTCATAAGACTGTTATAAATATTGGATTTAGATATATTAATTCAGAAGAATTGAATGCTAAATGCCCCTAAAAAGAAATGTGCACGGCAATTTCTTAAAGTGCTTTAAAGAAACGTTTTGATTATATTTAAACTATTTTGGAAGAAAATTATGCTATTTAAAAATAAAAAGCTAAAATACATAAACTGCCCCCAAACTAATTCAAACTATTGGGTCCGTTTGGGACAATTTATTTAGTGCGGTGGCGTTTTGAAAACGCACCTGAACTGTTTGGGTAAACTGCATTTTAGCAGCTTATGTGTTTTCAAGACGCTGAAAACAACATTTTCACACCGCACCTATCAAGGTGTGGAGGCAGCTTTCTGGAAGGGGCCTGGTTTTTCCAAAAAAATAAAAATTTGTAATAGGCACCGCACCTAGCGTATCACCAGATTATTTTTAATCAGTTCTAAAAAAATAAAAAAATATAGTAGTCATCGCACCTAGCTTATCACCAGATTATTTTTAATCGGTTTATCAGCAAATTATTCAATAAACTACAGCTGACCCAAACAGACCCTATAGCGCATCACCTCTCCACCAGCTGAGTAGGGCCTCGAATTGCGGCCAACATTTTAAACAGTTATTGGGGTCTCAAGCTTCGGATGCGAAAGGTGGATGATTGTGTTAGTTAGTCGACATCCAACATAAATTTTTTGTCAAAAATTCTTCACATTAATCTTTTAAATCATTGTGTCACTTGTGTAAAGTGACAGTGTAAAGTGACAGATTGTATGACCTGAATAAAGTGAAAAATATGCAAGTGTCGCTACACCGGCGTCATGGTGTAAAATAAAATAAGCAAGGATTCTCATATATGGATGGATACCAACAAAAAAGTTAACCCATGAAACTAATAACGAGATAGGATCTTGAAATAAAGATAAATTAATAGATTAATGAAATTAGTACATATTATGGTTCATAGAAAGTTAAATATTTTTACATTCAAGAAACTAAAAGAGTTGAAAAAATTACTAACGAGATTGATAGTTTATGTTATAGACTTTAGCATTCAGATATAAGTTACACTAGAAATGATGTAAGTATAGTTATAGACAAGGGTTTTAAAGGTAACGCTGTAAAAATTAATAAAATTGAAGATAAAATGCTAACCCTAAAAATTGTTATTTATGGTAAGTTTTTTAATGTTACATGTGTTTATGCTTCTTAAGTAAGTTTAGGTATATAAATTCAAAAAATATATTTTGAAATGATCTGAAAAAATTAATATAAATGATATATCTTGAAAAAAAGAATTTTTATTGTAGAAGAATTAAATGGATATGTTGGTAGAGTGATAGAAAGTTTAGAAATATTTATGTGGCTATGATTTTAAAGTGATTAATGAAGAAGACAACCATATTAAATTTTGTTTTAGCTTATGATATTATTATTGGTAATATTTTATTTAAGAAAAGAAACGTTATTACTTATGAGAATGAATGTAATAAAATCCAAATTATTGATTTTTTTATGAGAAAAGAGATCGTCGAAAATGTAAAGAATATAAAGTCATTTCGAGTAAAATTTGATTTACTCAACATCAATTATTAACTCTGGATTTTAAAATGAGTTAAGATAGAGAATACAGTGAAACATTGTCATAAAATTAGATGGGACAATTAAAAAACATAAAATAAAATTATTTTTATAAGTAAATTTCAAGATTTCAAAATTTGAGATGTTCGTGAAGAAGCTAATTCTATGCTGGACTAAGAAACAAACATTATTAAACAAGTGACGGAATGTACTTCAGGAATCAGAAAGAAAAGTTTTATAAATAAAAATAATTTGTGGCGAAATAATAATGTGCAAAAAGATAAAATAAACGAAGTTGTGTTATAAAAATTGGTTTAAATGTAAAGATTTAGAAAATTAGGAAAATATAAAATTACACGTATAGAGTATAAGAGAACAATTTGTAACACTAAGAATTCTATTTTTTAGTTATATTTATAATAAATTAGATACTAAAGAGGGTAAAAATTATATGTATAAACTAAACAAACAAAGAGAAAAGAAAAAAATAATAATTTAAGTCAAATGTACTAAAAATGAAAATCAAAAGTATTTTTGTAAGATGAAAATATTCAACATAAGTTGATGTGCTATTTTGATAAATTTTTTAATGTTATTTCTAAAAGTATGATTGACCTTAATATCTTAATATCATTAATAATATATATATAACATATATATATTTATATATTTACGTCACATTAGTAAAACTAAAGTTTAGAACGCTTTAAAGAAAATCAATGGTGGAAATTCAATAATACCTAATGATATCTTAATTGAAATGTGAAAAACTTTAGGAGATTAAGGAGTTACTTGGCTTAATAAACTCTTTAAGATTATTTTAAAAACTAAAAAGAAGTCTGAGTAGAGGGAGAGTATTTTGGTCCCATGATTAAAAATAAAGGGAATACATAAGAGTGCAAATTATAAAGGAATTAAATTAATGTGTTATTTTTTAAAATCATGGGAGAGAGTAATTGAACATAGGTTTAGACATAGTACAAAAATTTCTTATAATCAGTTTGGATTTATGCTAGACAAGTTTATTATGGAAACCATACATTTACTGAGAGGTTTAATGGAGAAGTATAAAGAGAGTAAAGAGGATCTACATATGATTTTTATTGATTTATAAAAAAACATACCATAAAATTATAAGGGAAGTCCTTTGAAGAGTTATAGAAAAAAGGGTGTTGATTTGACTTATATTTAAGTCATGAAAAATATGTATACCTTGGTGTATGCTTTTCGTTGATGATATCCTTCTTGTGGACAAGACTAGAAAAAGAGTAAGAAAAACTTGAATTAAGGAGATCTACATTGGAGTTTAAAAACATCCACTTGAGGATATTTAAATTTGAATACATAGAATGTAATTTTATAGTGGTGGCTTTAGTGCCAGAGTTGTAACTATGAGTTATCGAATCATTAAAAAGTTTGAAAATTTTAGATATCTCAAATTTATTGTTCAAAGTGATGGTGATAGATGAGAATGTTATTAGTAGAATTCAAGTTGGTTGATTGAAGTGGACGAATGCATCGGGCTTACTGTGTGATAGAAAAGTACCACTTAGACTTGAAAGTTTTTATAAGATGATGATCACACTCGCAATGCTTTATGAGACATAATGTTGGCCTCCAAAAGAGAAGCATGAAACAAAGTTGAGTGTTGCCGAAAAGAGAATGCTTAGGTGGATGAGTGGTTTGACGCTTAAAGATAAAATGTAAAACGAATATATCCCTGATAGGGTTGGTGTCGCTCAAGTGACAGACGAGATTAGATGGTTTGATCACATTAAACGTCAATCATCCGATGATCCGATTTAAAGAGTAGATGTTTTAGATTCGAGTTATGTAAAAGATAGGCAGAGATAAACATAAAAAAAAACTTTGGATATTGTATAAACATGATCTGAATCTATTAAAATTAAATGAAAATATGATACTCAATAGGATAAAGTATTGAAAAAGAATTCATGTAGCCGACCCCACTTAGTGGGATAAAGACTAGTTGTTATCATCAGAGATATGGCCACAAAAGCAGAAGAATAATTTGAATGTCAACTACTAATTTTGCCTGAAGCCGTCCTATTTGCTACGTAGCAGTGTCAAATAATTAAATTTTAATTTTCATTTACAAACATATTGTGCGGCAAACATAAACCCTGCAGCCGCAGCCTGCAGCCTGCACAATTTAAATGTTAAATGCTTCGCAAAGTAAACGTACAAGTAAATTTTGGTTTTATGGATTCGTCTACAGTCCTCAAAACATTACATGATAAGATTATAAATTCCTTCTTAATTGAAAGAAAAGAGACGTCTCCTTATCATTTAAATTTCTTGCTTTTTTTATGAAATCTTACCTGAACAGAATGGCCTGAATGAAATGCATGTCTTGTATATATATATATGTATATAAATATGAACATACAAACACCATAATGAAAGATGCTCAATCGCACCACACCTGGCGAAGGAGACTGTACCTCAAGTTCGATACTGAGACCTGCTTATGCAATAATCTTTCTCCTGCTATTGCCGGCGAGACCGGAGGAGTTCGGTCAATAAACGAGGCGATGGGATCAACAAGATCGTCCAAGTCCTCGTCACTAGTGTAACCCCTTCTCATTACCATTGATGAATTTCTCTTTAGTTTTGGTGATTTGCTCTCTGCCTCTACCAATTCCTCAACAAAATCAGGAAGAGATATGGGAGTGTACACGACTTGAGCTGAAGTGCGTGGCAAAATGTACATCTGCTCAGTTTCTGATAGCCTGCGCTCAACGAGACTCTGTAATGGACACGGGATGCTTGTCAGGACCAGTATCTACGGCTAGAAAAGGAAAAAAATATTACATGGAAATAGATGCGGATAGATACGAATTTGATGGTATTGCGCTGGTATTATGGTGATATTCATCACAATGCCACTACATTACTATCAGAATATCACCAATCCGCACATGTGGATTCCGCATGTAATATTCTCTACAAGTAAAGTGACCATAATTAAATTTTACAATTTTTCATTTGAAGATAGATGGACCTTCACTATTGTCTTACAATTTGAATAACATTGGATTTATTCATTTTGTTATGGTCCAAGATAAGAATTACAATCGAAGCTTTGAGCAGTACTCAAGCATGGATTATAAACATCGGAGGTATTGAAATTCATATAAAGTTTGTGAGAGACAATTTGATTACAGTTCTATTAATGATGGCATCCATGACAACGTACAAATTAAGTGGAGCATTAGTTAAAATTAAAACATTTAAATCCGGAATAAGTATGATTATTTACTATTAATTTTGGAATACAGTATGTAATAGATGGATCCAGTTGAACCATACCTCAGAATTCAACTCTTCCAGTATAGCGCTTGGCACAGACTCTGGACAGAACTCATCAGGCGTAAAATTGCACAAAATCCGTGTTATTAAAGTCAACCCAATAGAGGGGCACACCTTCAAAAATAAGAGAGAGAAAAAGTTTAGTTTTGAACAAAATAGAAGAGGATCATCATCATTTTTCTTTTTATACTTATTATTTGGGATCCGCCATAAAGCAAGGGGATACAGATCATGCTAAAAACCATACCACAAGGTGTTTCCAAAAAGTTACCTCATTTCTGATAGACTTCTCAAGGATCATTTCTTTAGGAAGCATAAGAAGGTCGCTCAACTCATTCAAAAGACGAAAGCATTTAAAGCCAGTATCATTTTTATAAGCGTTTTCTTTTCCAGAATTGTCAAAATTCATGCCCAACAACTCTTCCAACCATCTAGCCCAGCTCCCAGTCTGTTGAAAGGGCAAACCATTCAAGTTCTAGAATCCAATAATTCAAAATTCAATCCGCATAAAAGAAGTTTAATAAAATATTATTGACTAATCATATTAAATTCTATGCACGCATGAGCTTAGAATATCGACAACAGCAATTCCTATAATAGAGAACTTCTACGCCTAATAATGCCTCCTGGGAACAAGATGATAGTGCTTGAACTTTAAGACCAAGATCATAGGGCATGTCATGAAGTGGCACAATCTGACACCCTCAGAGATTATGCAAGACAGGAAGGTAATAGTCCTCAACCCATCTGCAAATTAGGGTTGCAGCTCGTGTAGAGTATTGTGGGTTCACATGGAGGAACCAACTGATGAATAAATATGAGGAATACACTTTCCAAACTTCTAACTAGATATGCTAACATAGAACATGCATCATTAGAGAATATGAAGAAAAAGAAGGTGATATTTCTCAACCCAGCTCCATTCTAGGGTTGCACATAGAGTTGTCTACTGTGGCATATGGAGGTCCCAACTGCTTAAATTGAAAATTACACTTTCAAGACTTTTAAGGTATTAAGCTAACAGATATTATTAAAAACAGATTGGAATCACCTTACAATTCAATATATCTATATAATATTGTAGGAAAGTTAAGTAGAAACTTCTAAAAGATTTTTCTTGTAATTTGTAGAGTTTCAAGATTCATGAAATTTGGCGTCCATGTTCAGTTTTACATGCTTATCAACTTAGTAGATAACATACCGCATTTTTAAGCTGAGCACCAGAACCAAAGCTCAAATTTCCCGCTGGTATTGGAAGTACCTTTGAATCAACAATAGGATCTAAGATAGGATCAGTGGGTATCTCATTTGCTGATTCCCTCAAAATGGCATTAAACATTGCAACATCTAATCTGCACACACATTGCTCCATAACCTGATTGAAATTTTAAGAGAATGATTAGTGTAACAAACTAAATAATCAGTGCTGCTAATTCTTCAGCTGCTAATTTATGTGCAAGATGTCGGATACATGGATTAAGCAGTCACATTAATGAATGATCTCAAGAAAATAAAATAAAAAATTAAACAAAGAGATGCCAGAACACAATAAAGCATTTTCATTCTTAATGCCAAATCCTAATGGAAAGAGCAAAATATGCTGGAGTTCAAATATCCAACGAGCCAAAAGAAAGATCACATTACTAATGCATGTAAGCAGGCTACTGTTTTGCACTGTTTAGATATTTACAAATAAAATAATGAACAAAAATTAGGAATTGTGTAAAAGCATGTGAGAAAAAATATTGAAGAAAAAACAAACGAAAAAGTATTCGAAGCTCATACCTTTCTTGCCAACACCTGCAAGCAACCACACTCATGTCCTCCTGCTAGAACTGGGCAGAGCCTGGAAAATGCATCATGAAAAGCACTTCTCCATAGGTTCACTGAAAAATTTCGCTGTTTAGGATCACCCAAAGAAGGTCCGAACAGTTTGACAATGCTTTTAGGTTTGTATAGATCCTCAACCGGGGACTGCATGTATGGAGTCAAGGCCTGGAAATGCAACCGCAGATGATATGAAAAAAATAAATAAATAATGAACTCGGAGTCCAGTTTAGAAATAAGATTGGTTAGTAGGTTACACCTCATTTCGTTGAGGCATTACCCAAAATCCCAAGTTTCTTAAATCAATCAAAAGATGATAAAGATTATCCGATAAAACCCTCATTACCCATGTGGAAAACAAACTTGAGAAAAGAAAATGCTCAATAATTGCATTTTACCTGCCACCAAACTGATTCAACAGCTCTGGAGAAAATCCAGGACTCGAGTTTCTCTAGTGCAGCAATATATGTGCTGGCCTCGTGCCAGTCATCTACTTCGGCAAATCCAAGCATCTTTCCTTGTTTACCTTCACAGATGTTTTTAAACTTCTGTAGCCCGCTTCCAGACTTCATAGAATGGAAGTTTAATTCTACAGGCCTCATAATCACACTTGATTGGGGTAAACTGCCGTATGTTTGGCAAATAATCTTTCTTAATACAACTGTGTTTGATAACCAAAAAGTCAACCTGCAACATGAAGGTAATACTTGACTCCGCTAAAGAGAAAAAAGACAGTAATAACATTAAACTTGAGGTAATAACAGCATAACTACCTTGGGACATCATTACCACATGATTTGGCAATAAGAGCAAGTCCTGAAATGGTGTTCTTGGTAACAGTTGCCAACTTATCCTGACTCCAATGCTTCCAGGCATGAACATATAGTCTAGCAAGACGCCGGGCAGGGGTATGGACCTTATGTGCTGAGCTTCCATGTTCTGGTACAAAAGAATAAAGAGAAATCTCAAGAGCAGCGACTTCCCTGAGCTCCTCTTCAAGTTTTTCAATCCTGAGTTCCATCTCCTCAACCTTTCGACAGAAACTTGTGTGGACATCATCTAGATTTTTCTCTTCTGCATCTGCTACTGAATCATCCGTTCCAACACTTTGATCACAAATTGGAGCCTCATCAAAAATATCTATCTCCTTGACCTCTTCAATGCTCTTACCATTTGTTCCCACAACTGATTCAAATGAAGGTTTTAGAGGAACTATAGTATTCGCTGAGGTTTTAATGTCAAGATTTATTGGGGAAGGAGCAACTTTATTGACTTTATGAGATTTCTTTAACCCATTGATTGATGACTTCAATTGCAGGTTCTTCTGCTCTTGGCTCTTCTGATCTTGGCGGCTAATACTAATTTTTGATGGGCGAAGATAGCTTGCACTTGATTCTTTCTTATTAATTTTTTTTGGAGCTCTTGAATTATTTTTTATCATGCTGGAGTATTCGCTACTGTGTGATGAAAAAGACTCTTTTGCTGGCTCATAATCTGACTCTTCATCATTTCCATGTTTATTTACTTTGTCAAAGTTAGCAGAACGGTCTAGTCTCCCCACATTATTCTGTTTGGCACCCATTGCAGCACTAACACTAACTACGACTGCTGAATAGTCCAAATCTTTTGGAAGAAATATAAAATCATCTTTAGCATGCTTTCAGTAATACCATAATCTGAAGGGCTTTAGAATGCTCAGGCAATGATCAATGATCGAGTACATGCTGTTAGCAACACCATATAATATTCAACTTGATGAAGCTTCATAAACAAATAGCCAAGAAACTTGAATGAAAGTAATGCTTTCTACCACGCCTGAATATCAGGAAAAATTGAATGTCCGACTCTTAGAGTATAGCCATATTAATTAAGAAACTTGGGTGGCTAATTCTATGAAATGAATGTAGAGCAATCACACCGCATTGTCGTTTAGAAATGGATGCTTGCCATGTACACTGAAACTTAAGCAGAAATTCCTGTATGAACAGAGCTAAAAAAATTGGTCAAGAATATAAACAGCAAGCTGAACCAAAATTTTAATAGAAAATTTGAGAAAATTATGACATGGAGCCCAAAACTTTCCCCCGCCAACAAAATAAATAAAATAAAATAAAAAGAACAAAGCCGTTACAAGCGTTAAGGCCCAGCTTATTGAGAATTTAAAAAAACCCAAAAGTACAGTGGCCTAGTGCTCTTTGAGATTTTAGACGTAGTATTGCAAATGGAGTTAGTTCAGTATTTTTTTTTGCTGTCAAATAGCCAAGTTTCAGGTGTTACATAGAAAATTGCACAACTTCATTATTATATAATATAATAAACATTTTTTTAAAGAACAAAACAATGCATAAATAACATAAAGATAATTGCAAAAATGGAACTATGCAGTAAAATGAAAATGAAAATAGTTCGGTGAATACTTGAGTTTAAACTTTAGAAATGAGAAGCAAGTATCAAAACAAAATAATAGGATGTGTCCTTATGGCTTCAATGAATGATTCTAATTTTTATAAGAGGCCTTTTGGGGTCTTTTTGTTTTTTAGTATTTTTCTAGTTTGTGTTTTTATTTTGTTTTGTTTTCCTTAATTTAAAATAAGAAAATATTTGACATTTTGAAAATAAATAAACTAATTTTTAAAACATTCAAAATAACTTTTAGCAGTTTTTAGTGTTTCTAAAAATAAGTTGATTTATTTTTAAAAGAAAAAAATAATAGCTTATGAAAAATACACTAAACAGACATTCTTAAAGTTTTGAGGAAAGATCAAAACAAAATAAAAAAAATACTCCCAAACGAGCCCTAAGTAAATCGCTCTATGTCACAACTCCTATGCATTCAATTTCTAGAAGCTTTAAACTCATAGTGTTGCCCATGTTCATGAAAAAGTAAATCTTAAGAGTTAATTTAGAACTATTGTCGGTAGAAGCTTCTAACATTTTCTAACATGATAAATTGTAAAATGATTGATTTAAACTGAGCTCAAACATATGGAGAATGTGAGTGTTTAATTAAAAGCACAGCCTCTGGCAATTGTAGCTCGAACAAAATAGTCAATTCCTTACAAAAATAAATGTAATAGGACTAATTTTCAAGCCACACAAAATTTTTCTTCTATATCTTTTTGTGATTTTATTTTATTTTTAGTTTAGCATTAAGCACTTATAATTTCATTATTTTAAATGATATATAAAAAAAGGGAAGAAAGATTAACAAGCTAACCTTAACATAATACTATATTTGAGAAGATATAAACAAGTACCAAAAGAGTTGACCAAAATAGAATAATTAATTACAGCCAACATGAATATGAATGATATTTATTAGCGGTATTGGTACTAAACCATTTTAGAAATGAAAATGGACCCACATAAAAAATAATTTTGTACCTATTAAAAACTCTATGGGAGGAAACAATATCTTGCATCCCAAATACTATCAATTTAAAATTGCAGTATTAAAAATCTTTTGGAAGTCAAACTAGTACGCTTAAATAATTAAAAAGTAATAATCAAGTATCAATTGGAATTATTTAAAAGAGAGATGTTTACGCTACATGGTTTGCTTATAATTTTCAGCTAAATGCTTTATCTTTCAACCTACGTTTCTGGCATAATATTCAATTCCCTTAATTGATATTTAAATTTAATCAATTTCCTAACTTGCTAAAATGTTAATAATATAAAGTGACTTAATAAACTATACATTTATAAAATAGAGCAACAGGACAATGGAGTACAAAGGCCTTTTTCTCTCTACAATACAAGAATGAAAGATTCATGAAAATTTATTTTGCATAGAAGTGTCGAATGTTTATGCTGTTGTTCCTACTTCTCTGTTACTTCTTCCCTAATAGCACGGAGTAGTTTACCTTTTTACTATCAATGGGAAAAAACATAAAAAAATTTTATGGAATATCCAAAACCTAATATCTCATGTAACGACATGTAGTATCTTTGAAAAGATATTAAATTAGTCTAGCTCTAGTGGCGGACAAGATTAGAGAGAGTGATCTTAGATGGTTTAGTCATATTAAACGCCGGCCATCTGATGATAGTCCGGTTAGGAGAGTAGATTTCTTAGATTCTTATGATAAGAAAGATAGAGGCAGACCTATAAGGACTTGGCTTATTGTATAAAAAATGACCTTAATTTATTAGATTTAAATGAAAATATGGCTCTCAATAGAACACAATGAGGAAAAAGGATTCATGTAGCCAACTACATTTAGTGGGATAAGAACTTGTTGTTGTTGTCGTTGTTGTTGTATTATGTTTCTATTCACAACCTTGTTATTATTGGAGTGATTTAAGATACGAACATTAATACAGAAGATATACATACCACAAACATCTTATTTATTTACATATCTAACACCCAAATTTTGATATTTATTCTTACAACACTTTGGTATCATAAACCTATGCAAGAAAATATGTGCTCACTTTTCAAAATGCTTTTTGATGTGAAGTTACAGATGTGAGTGGTGAAATATTGATAAATTGTGTGTGTTTAGTATCTTAATTATGTCATTTTGTATGTTTATATTATGATTTGAGGAAGGTTGGGGTGTTGCATTGCATGATTCAAGTTAGTGAACAAACGGAGTTCACAACATAGCAAATCAGAAAAAAATGGTGTTATGGTGCAAGGACTGACCGCTTAGGCGCCATAATTAGCCCAGCAAAGTGCAGAAAACAGAAAGCCCGGAAAGTAGGCACCACGAGACAAGCCCTAGGCGCCAAGATACTCAGGAAATTTTGGCAAATTTTCAGAGCACACCAAAAGTAAGTGTTATAATTGTAACGCTTAGGCGCTATAGTGCAGCGCCTAGGTGCCCTGACACTAGCACCTAGTTGTTGCTATAAACTCAACATAAACGGCACCTAAGCACCAACCATGAGCGCTTAGGCATCAGAACACGCAAATTGACTGTTCCAGCATTTAGATAAGTCGTTTCACTAGGAGAAATTATATAAACGATGAAAATGAAGTTTTGAGGGTTTTTTCTTCAATTCTTATGCAACTTGGAGTGTGGAGCACTTGAGATAGGGTCAAATCAACTTGCAAGGAGTCTTGGAAAGAAGAAAGTGAGTGTTTAGGAGGGTTGAAAGTATGTAAACCTTGTTGTTTGTGACTTCATCATACTGCTTATTTGGGAAGGAGATAAGTACAACCAAATGTTATTTTACTTTGGATTTCTTTGTTTAAACTTCAAGTATGATGGCTTTTCTTAAATCTAAGTTTGTGTTGATGTGTTTTGTCATGAGTAGTGCTAGTTCTTTGTTTTTTCTTTGAATTAGGAGGGTGGATGGATAGAATCAAGGATTTTTAAATGATTTTAAAGTGTCATGTTAGCTTGCAAACTTAATTTACATTTTGTCTGGCCAGTGAAATTGTTAAAATATTTCGTGAACACTGAGATCCGAAAGGATTATTTGTGGAACGAAAGAGTTAACCAAATAAGCTCATTGGAATAAGATAATTGCTAATGAATTTATAAAATCTTTGGGGAGATATTTTCTAGTGGGCAGATCAAGAGTTTTAGAGAACTAAACTCGTGACTGTTGACCTTTCTTAGATCACCGAAGGGGATAAAAAAGAAATCACTTCTAAATGACACTAAAGATGGATCTAGTCCTTAGTTCTATCCATCACTTGACTGATTCAAGGAAGAAATCTCTCATCCCTTGAACATCTTTAAAAATCTCTCTTGTTGACTAGGATAGACTTACTTTTTAGGATTTAGGAACCGGAACACTAAAAATTGTACTACCAATACGCCACATGTACTTGCGTGAGTCATCGGTGCTTCGCAGCACTTGGAATGTGTCAAGTAATATGCATGTAAATCTGAATGTTTAAATGTTTGATATGTAAACACTCAAGAATTGCGTGGTATTTATGTAAAGGCCCCTGGTGTAAATACTATAAAGAATTTTTGTCCGCATATAAGCCATGTCACTCCACTGCTACTTAAGATAAATAAAAGAAGGAAATAAAGATCCCAGAGTTTTGATGACAGAATATAAGAAGAGAAGAAGTGGCACCAATTTTGTTAGTTTTGGGAGTATATTGCCAGCTATCGACAAGTTGGAATTTTGGAACTCGTCTGAAAACCAATTAAATTGAAGTCCCCACCCCCAATAATGCTACATTTTTTTAGTCCAGAGGGGCACACCTGATCCATAAATCCACAAGTACACCAGCGCAGAAGCTTCATAACACAGATATAAAATGACAATGCAAATACTAAAGAAAACATGTCACGCTAAGAAGATCACAAGAGCTTAGCCATAAATGCATTTCCTATATAAATAATGAAAGTTTGCTCCCTGTCTAATTATAATTAAGATCCAACATGTCACAGAATTGCCAGCGAATTCAGTGCAGGAAATGTCTCGGAAAGAGAAATATGACAATTAAAGTGATCATAACAGCATCCTTTCAAAGAACTAAACATACATTCAATGGGAAATACGCGCAAGTCAGATTACTTCTAATTTTGTTCTTAATATCCAATGCTATGCACGTCTTATATTTTATATTAATTGTCCCTCTAAAATTTGATTTTCCATGGCTCTCGCTAACCGTTCCTAAAATCCTGGGTCAGGCAGTCGCAAAATATATTAAAATAAAGCTCTTATGGATCTCATCCTCAAAACGCAGAAAGAAATGAATCACTGAGATCATATTTCAGGCTTTCATGCTCTGAAAATCAAAGCCTTCCAATTTTGAATGCGTCAAGAAACTGAAAAAGGGATGTTAAACGAAACTCTCGTGACATCACGGCAAATGTTATTTCAAACTTCAGAACCAAAACAATCACACAGAATGTTCATATTTCCTAAACAAATAAACAAATCACAAATCACCAGATCAAACATAAAACTAAAACCGCAAAATCAGCAGTTGAAAAAAGAACTGAAAAACCGGTCGAGATTCGCCATCTTATTAACAAATAGCATCAATTAAAACAACCAAATTAATGCTAACCTCCTTCACCAAATGATAGAATACAAACTTTCAAAATCGAAAACAATCACCTCGAAAGCCATCAATCAAACCCGAAATGCGATTAAAAACTTTTCCTAAACCCGATAGATGGAGACGGACAAAATCGTCCAATTCCTCCGGGAATCTAAAAAGGCAAGAACATCGTGACAAAAGCTCGAAGTGAAAAAGCGCATCTGATAGAAAAGAGAAGCATTTCACAGATCGACTCACCAAAGCATTCCCCCTCTTCTCCTCGACAATCTCTCTCCCTCTCTCTCTCGCTGGGCTATGGCAATGGAGGCGGAGTGCGGGAGATTTTAAACCGAGGGGGCAATTGTGAATGTTATAGTAACCGGGCGGTTAAGATAGACTGCGGTAGTTCCAACTGGCTGCAGTCAGTTGCCGGTGACCGGGCATTGTCGTCGGTGGTAAGAAACTGACCGGGAGAGAGGCGGGGTATTTATTCAGTAAGAGATTAGTCTTAGAGTTTGAAGTATTTGCAGGATGCCACTTCATGCGGTTCGTGCCGTGGTTGGATCTGGACCTTACGTGGCGTATGTGAGGGCTAGGCATGCGGCGCCACGTGTGCCGAATCGTGGACGTCCGTTTCTAATCAGACGAGATCGTAGGTGGGTCACAGTCTTTGGTACCACAGTAGGGTCCAATTAGACATACCCATAGAAACCCATAGCATGAAAATGGAGTACGTCATTTTGGATAAATAAGACGTACGAAATGGAGGGTATAGAAGTTTACATTCACATTATATTCTTTGTAATCTTCTGTAACTTATCTGTAACTTAGAAATATATGAAAATATGTGAAACTTACTAGTTACAAGTAGATTACAGGTAGGTTACAAGGATGTTACAGGGGTATAACGCGGATATAACCCTCAATACCCTCCCTGTAACTAGGGCTGTCAAAACGGCTCATTGCTCGCGAACAGCTTGTGTTCGGCTCATTCTCTAAGTTAACCGAACACGAACATGTCTTAAAAATTTAATTGACTGCAAGTCTATAAAGATTTATAATCAATTAAAAGTATTAATGAAGAAAAATGAATAAAAATTATTAAAATAGATTCAAATGATGTTTTAAATTTTGTCCCAATTCTTAACATCTTGTGGCTACTTGATTAGAGTTGTCAAAATAACTTTTTGTTCGTGAACGGCTCGTGTTTGGCCCGCTAAGCAAACAAGTTGAACACGAACACTCTTTTTTAGCTTGAAATATAAATGAGCCGAACACGAGCTGAGCATGGGCTCGCACGTGTTCGGCTCGTTTACACCCCTATCTGTAACCTACCAGAAGTACGCAGCTCTGCGTACGTCTTATGTACGCAAATATTTCTCATCAATTTGGGAGTTAAATTTTTTTTTATTTGTAAACATCAATGTTTATGGCGGGCTACTATGTAATTATCCCAAGAAAATGAGGAAATTACATACAGATCACCCAATACTTACTATTTACAAATCAACAGCCCTCTCTCATCCATCTTTAAAATTCGGGCTAAAATATCAAAGTTTATGGCCCATATTTTTATTTGTATCAAACGGCTCTATTTTCAAAAATGGTTAATTTGTAAATACCATGGGGCAATTACATAAAAACCACCCCGGAAAAGTATTATTTGCAAATTAACCACCCTCTTTTATCCAATTTTCAAATTCTCACTCAAATATCAAATTTTATGGTAAAAACCTCACTCTCATTTTTCTTTTTTTTATCAAATTCTCAATATTTTGATCGTGGCCACTGTAAATGCATCGATTTGTGTCAATTTATGAATATTAATGTTTCAGGGGGTCTGCATGTACATATCAATTTTTTATTTGTTTTTTTAGTTAAGGTTAGGTATGTCAAATGGGATTCACAAGTCACATTCGAGTCTAACTTAAAATTGGCTCGGTCAAGAGCAATTTAATTCGAACCGGTCATAAATATTATATGAGTTTTATAATCTCACCAAAATGTAACCCTCCTTCAACACAACTAACTCGAGCCCAACTTGCGTAATCTATTTAACATATGCATACTAATTTTTTTTGGATAAATTTGGGTTAATTTCAAGTAAAACTTGGGTCATATTCGGGTTAGCCAATCATTTTTATTTCAACTTCGTATTGAAAGGTCAACCCAAACTTGCCACAGATAATTAAACATTATAGGGCTTTGGACTTGAACCTAAACCAAAAATTAATCAGGTAATGTCAAAACCAAATGTTTTCAGTTGGGTTAAGTTACTATATCAAGCTAACTTTTGACACAACTAGTTGAGGAAAAAATATTGTGTCTATAGTCCGAACGTAAAACTACGTATGAACAATGGTCGAGATACACCAGAAGGAGCAGAGGAGAAAAAAAAATACCCCCCTGTGTATTGCGTCCATTGTCCGGATGTAGCTTGTCTCCTGAGTCTGGATGCAATATTTATTCCTAGCTGAGACCCAAATTAATAATTTCATAAAAATTCATAATCTTTTTATTATAGGGGTTTGACTCTACCAAAGAAGCCTTTTTAAAATAATTTTCATCACCTATATCTAATGAACTAGCCCAAACTTCATTATACACAGCACTGCCCAAGAAACAAAAAGTACTCAATAAAATGTATGGAATAAATTACAAATCAAAGTAGTCAAAAGTATGCCCTATGTATCTTTTTAACTTATGTGGTCCTTCTAGTTGCCAGATGAAGTCAATCTAACTTACCAAGGTGAGCACGCACTTGAATGTATTACAGACAACTAGCTGAATGGACACGGAGATGTGCTTGGCCAAACTGAATGGTTGAATTGAGTGATCAGTCTATCCAGCCAAGTTATCATGTTGAATTGGCTAATGAAACTAGTTGGCCAACCTATAATTGAACCCACACCCAATTTTGGAAAATTTGGCTATACATATATTGTTCATCGATTCTATTATTTTTTTTAACATATGTTGTGCTAAAAGCATAAGATAATAATAATATAAATTTAATTTGATGATAAATGCATTAAACAAGTTTATTTATAATGTTATGAGTTCCCAATGATTTATGTCACTTTTTTGCTTTGATAAGTGGAAGTCTGAAAGTTTCTTGATGTCATCATTATTGTGATCTTCTTTCCTTACATATTGCTTGTTTCCATTTTTCTTGTTGGTGAGATATTGAAGGGGCTCTTGAAGGGAATGTTTTAGTTTCAAAGGCCAAGCTTATTAGTTCAGAAAACATAAAATAGAAGGAGAATTGATATTAAAGAAGAAAGTGAGGATAGAAAAGAAGATGACTAGGTTTTTTTTTAAATGGAGCTTCCTTTGTTCTTCTAGTTGTTGATTGCCCATTTTTTAGGCACCTTAGCAGGTTGAGAGTTTGTTAACCATTGAAAAACTTTTACCAGCCAGCCTAGTGTCAGACATGTATAAGAAAATGAGTGACTTATCAATTACTGCTCAAATTGAATTCAGAGCAGAGGGTAAGATGTGGGTTTTTTTCGTTATAAAATAAGTTTCGTAAGAAATGTACATAAGTTTGAGTTTTTTATGTAGTCCAGTTCAGATTTAGCAAACTGATGAATGAAGAGAAATATTTTGATTAATGGACCCAAATGATTGCAGTTGATGAACTAAATATGAATGAAACAAACATTCCTCATGAATAATAATTTATCTTTAAGGAGAAAGAGTTTGAGAGACATACTCCTGAAAAAGTTGCTCTTTCTCTTGTTGAAGTACAATAGGTGTGGGCTCTTGGGAATGTGGTAGATGATTCAACTCTTGATAGTATAGTATTCTTATATGTTTCTTATTACAATTTAACTAAGGTACATGTAACCATGTTTGTCCATCGATAGATATTCTTTTTGATGAGCATGGTGTTTCCTAAAATGCACACTACTAAGATGAATAATTTGTCACCTCTCTGGTGAGGGGGTGGTTTAGGAGGTATACAAAGCAACTTTAGTGTCTCCTCAAATGGGTGTGAATGAGGAAAGTTTGGAAAGAAATGAGGAGCTTTCTATGGTATTGAATTCACTCTTGAATAAGAACAATGGCAAACTACTGCAATAGTTGATTGAATTGAGAGAAGAAACATCCGATTTGAAACCATCACATGGTGAGTTGAGCAGAGAAAGGACCGAAATGGGTGATATGATATTGACATTCCAATGATAAATAGAATCAACTCACTCGAATCAATTCATAGTAAATGGTGAATTAATGATGAAGCATTTAATAATGTATGGTCGATTTCCATCGGAAGTCGTTTCTACCTCTTGCATGTAGTTTTTCTCTCTATTTATTTTATAAATAGAGTCATCCTCAGTGAATATAGTGAGTTGTTCACTATTTCCATCTTTCTTCTTCACTTTCTTCAAAATTTTTTCGCCAAGAATGTGTTGATTTTCTTCAATAGTAGTAAGGACTTCGTATTCTTTGAGTTCTCTGGTGAGTCCGATTTCTAAAATGCAGATATAAACTCAACAAAACTCAAATTTGCACTTGATTATAAGATTATGCATTTTGAAGAAATAAAAATGATTGAATATGGCATAAGATGATGAGCTTTTGTTATATAATGAACATATTAGAATGGAGTTTAAACTCTCTCTCTTTATAGCGACTTGCAATAGATATTTCAGTTTTAACTTTATAACATATCTCTTTGGAGTCATTTCACTAATGTTGGAGCTATTTCTGTCAACTGGAGAAATTCTTGCACTTTGTTGTTTGTATTTGAAGCTGGTTGTGGTGTCTTCTAAAATATGTAATTCAAGCTCATTTCTTTGCATTTCTATGTCAGCTTTTGTTTTCATATTGCTTTGGTGCTGTATTTATTGGATCTGGTGCAAAGTTATCCTATTGTTGCTATCCATTATGTGGATGTTGTCTTAGTGTGTTTTATTTAGTTGTATTAGTCATGTATAAGGTACTTTTCTCATGTTTTATGTTATTATTGTTTTTATGTCATATTAATATTTTTTGTATTTTTTTTCTTTTTAATAAAGATGGACTCGACGCTCGGATTTCTAAATAAAATATATTAAATCAAGGGTTTTGAGTATTGCCAAGTAACCAAAAAAAAAATATATATTTTTAATTAAAAATTAATTTTTAAACATTTTGTTAGTGAAATAAATAACAATCAACTATCATGAGTGTTGAATCCTAATTTATCCGTGAATCATACCTTAAAAAATAGAGTGTAAGAAAGAAGAGAGAGACAAATAGAGAGTGTGGAATGAATAATAATGAATAATAATATGTTTCGTCTACTCCTCTTCTTATAAAATGATGTCGCTATTATTAGGAAAGAGTATCATTTAGTGACATTACATTTATGCTCTTGTTTTAATGGGGTTGTATATATAAGATATTTTAGGTATTTTACATATATGAGTCAATCACTTAACTGC